TTTATGAAGAGTCATACAGATTGTAAAGAATCAACCGTTGTATTACAATGTTTGAGACATTCATCACTAGATTTAGATGTAATTAGGAAATCATTAAGGTTATGTTTTCCAAAAGCCTTAGTTGATGCACTACCGGTTTTAAAGTGTTTTCAAAAACATATGGAGCAAATGGTCAAACCAAATGTAAGACACTCAAATTCGTAAGTTATTTTCTTTTTTTTTTAAATACTTTCCTTATTTTTTATGTATTGAAATGAGATAAGAGGCATCCTTTAATTTAATTTTTGACAAAATTGTCCTGTAACAAACAATTCTCGACATAACTGAGATCTTCCAGTTTGAAATACGAGAATCTATATATTTGTTAAAGATGAATCTAGATGAATCTAGATGAATCATTTCATTTGGGTCTTAAAAAATATGAGAACCAAACTAATTTTCTTTAGCAATTAAACTTCTAGTACTTCTTTTTTTTAAATGAAGTGTGTAGGTTAGTTTTTTCTCTAAGAGAAAACATCCTTTGGTGAAAGCTCTTTTGTGTTTTAAAGATTAATTTAAAACCTTTAACATATCTTAGGAACTTCTTATCATTAGTTAAGTTAGCCCACATGTTTTACAAATTTATTCAGTCTACCAGCAATCTCTCTTACCTTTATTTCCTTTTCTAATAACTCCTTCTCCCCTCTCTATTTTTCTGAATACTTGTTGGTTCGTCCTTTGGGTTTTTTTTTATTTCTCCTGCTCTTTGTCTGGCCTGGTTTTCTTCAGTCGCTATTTAAAAGTAGGCGCCTGAAGTTTAAAGACGGATTGAAATTATTTTTTGTTTTTAGTTGGTGCCTTTAAATTAAATGTATGCTAGTTTTTTCAAATGCTTTGTCTGACTTCCATATCTCTACAAAATTCTTTCCAAAATGGAAAACCATCGATATCTGATTTTTCTATCATATTTTTCACATTTGTGTTTAAAGACGGATATATAAGGTGCCTACGATGCATATATTCTATGGTAGATGTCTGATAATACTTTTGTTACATTTGCATTTGTTTTGATGCGTCTATTTCTGTTCCTTCCAAGCCTAGCTTACAGAGGTTCAGTTAAACTTCCCATCACCTCTCAAGTTGGTCTTGCAGCATATATAAATAACTGACGGTTTTATTTGATGACGTGACTAGTCATTAAACTTTTTGGTTCGGAGTTTAAGGTGGGGGACCCAAGTGAAAGTATTCCAGATTTTGATTTCGCAAAGAAACTTTGATATTTTGCCATTCTCCAAACCGTCTTGCAAATATTTTCCCAACTTTTTACCATTTCTTCGTTGATTGGTTTTCCGAGAGAGATGTTGCTAGTAGGATCCGCTCCCAGAATATCCTGATACTGAATTTGATCTTTATTATTCGAACGTCTGTTCTGGTGAAGATGACGAGTTTAATGTATATACCTCTTAGATTCTGATTCTGAATCAATTTAAATCTATATTTAATCAATGGCTAACTCATGTGCACATAAAGGGGCATTTTTTTAAGGTGCAGGATTTACCTATACAGTAATATAATCAATGAGCTTTGCGTAGAATTTTTGCGTCCTTGCATTTTATAAGCATAAGACCAGAGTTACCAGACCTTTATTTGTCTATAATGCAGAATTTACATAGTAACTACATTCTGCTTCCAAAGTTTTTTGAAGTTTACATTTTAAGTAGCATTTTTCGCATTGCGGTTAGCCGGGCTAGCATCTTATAAGTATAAGATCAGATTTATCACATAAAGCAGCCTCCTTTGTGCATTTATTTTGCAATAATAAGCAGAATTTACACATTAAAATTTACACATTAAGTAGCATTTTCCGCGGTGCAGTTAGCCGAGTTTGCAGTTTATAAGTATAAGATCAGAGTTAACACATAAAGTAGCCTCCTCTGTATAGTTATTTGTTATTTGCAGAATTTACACATAAAGTAGTATCTTCCGCCACAACAGTTTTGCGAAATTTGCATATAAAGTCGCATTTTTCGCTCTGCATACGTCTTATATGAATGATGTATCTTCTGCATATTTATATATCGTCTAAATTCGGAAATTTTCAGTAAAGCAGTATCTTCTGCAAGCTAAAAATCAATTAAATTATGAAGAAAACCATTCTCAAACCAATACTAGTATAAGATCAGAGTTAACCCATAAAGTAGCCTCTTCTGTACATATCTTTGTCTATAATGCAGAATTTACACATAAAGTAGTATCTGCCCTCATCAAAGTTTTGCGAAATTAAGTAGCATTTTTCGTTCTGCAGACGGATTTTATGAATGACTGCACCGTTAACACAAATAAAGTAGTATCTTCTGTATATTTATTTTTCGTCTAAATGCAGAAATTTACACATAAAGTAGTATCTTTTGCAAGCTAAAAATCAGTTAAATAAAAATAAAAACATTATTCTCCTACCTGTGCTCTTAATTCCTTCATTTCTTTTTCAATTTATCGTATTTCTAATACGATTTTCGATAGTTTTTATCCATGTTTTTATAATCGTTGGAATGTGGTCGGTTTTTGATGTGAATCAGGCGACACAACAATTGGTAATGAGTAATGTAGAGAGCCAGCGATAGAGAGTGACGTAAAATTTTAAATCTAAACATGTGGGTCAGCGGCGTAACATAGGTATACTACATGGTTATCTTTATTTCCACTAACAAGGATGTGAAGCATAATTACTGAATTGTGTATTTAATGTATGTATTTTATTGAATAAAGCAGGTTGTTATTGTTATTATATTTTTATTATTATTTTGTTTTATGTTTTGGCCACATTGAGTTGAAACTTTTCCTTTTTAGAAATTGCCCGCCTGACTTTTTAGCCCACCTAATTTTTGAATTGGGTACTGCTAGCGACCTTTGATTTTGCTTACCAATTTTTTTTATGTAACTACTTATTTTCTCGCAACCTCGATCTAGTTAGGTGAGTGAATGAAATTCCTTTGTAGATTTCATTAGAGATTAAAATCGAGAACTAGTTTATGTCTTACTGAAGAGCCCTAATAAGGACTAAACCGGTCCAAGATTGACGTTCCCCATTTTAAGCAAAATCAAAGGTAGAGTGGTGAAAATTATTTTCTATCTCTGCTGTTTTGCTTTGGATTTAATTCAATGTCCGTTGCGGTATTAGCCAATGGAAAAGTTGTTTTCCCGAGGGCAACAAAGGCTCGCATTTATGTGACACTGGCTTTGAGTATATTTCTATTTTGTTCTAGAATATTTGGCTTTTGTATTTCTAAAACTGTTTTCACATAAGGTTTGGATAAATATTTATAATTCGGTACTTACTGTTTTCAGTACAATTTTTTTTTTTAGTTTTTGAAGAAGTGAAATCGAGTACCTACATTTTTGCCTAAAATGAATTTTCTGTGAATAAATTTTAAAAATTCCTAAACTTTACCCAATAAACACAGTTTATTGGCACCATAACTGGGCCGAAAGAGGCTTGCCGGATGCCGGATTCGGACCGATATATGGGCGAGGCTTCGGCATATAGGTATGACATGTCCGCCCAGCCGAATGTCGGCAGCCCACTAAATTGAAGCCTGCGTTCATATATCTATATATAATTCGGCCCGTAAGGATGCCTCCCATGCCCGGCTTTCCAAATATTAACCGCGCTCGGCCCGTAAGAATGCTTCCCATGTCTGGAACGCCAAACACGGACCATATGTATGCGGTTTCTACTTCTAAATTACGTCAAATGGTACGGTCCTCCCGGCTCAGAAGAAATGCCGACAACGGCAATCCGAGTACTCGGCTTCCCGTACATGACGGTGTCAGGCCGAGCGAATGCCGACTATTTGAGGTTTACTGGGTAAATACTTAGCTTTTATTTGTTTACTGTTTTTGTTTAGAGATTTCGCTCTATTTTATTCTTATGATTAACTTATTAAAAAACAATATTTAGCCTTGTTGTCAGTTGTTATGAAGTTGCTCGGATCTTGGTTACTTCTTAAAAAACTACTAAATTATAAGCTATACAAGGTGTTTTTGAAATACAGGTATATACTAAAACTGGTTAATATTTGAATTGATCGTTTTTTAGCCAATACTTTTTACAACTTTCAGATTTCTGATGTCTCGTTTGCAGGGGTTCTAAACTAAATCCTTGCAGATGACAGTTCCTGCTGGTCTTACCAACCACTTCACAAAATTACAGCAGAAGGTACGATCCTATCACCTGGGCGGCCTCCTAGATCTTAGTCTATAGTGTATTATTTTGTTTGAAAAGAAACTGTATGACGTAAACTATTCTTTGTAATTCAGATCCACAGTACTGTTTTCAGTTTCGTATATAGTCTAGTCATTGTTGTTGTTTGTCGATTGTTGTGTGTGTTTTGAGATATTTGGAAAGCTCCTTCTACTTCAGAATATTCGTGTTGAGTTGAAAATATTTTTCATGGCTATTTAATGTACTGTCAACAATTTTTTTACAGTTTTTCTTTTATCTGTCCGACTTTACGGGGCAACGTTGTCCCGGGGCCTTGCCGCCCCGAGGCGTCACCCCGCTGTCCTCCTCCCCTTAGAGACGGCCCTGGATTTAGTAAAGTTATTGTACTTTTTAGGCTTGCGAACATTTATTTTGTACTTTTTAAATTAAAATTGTTAATGACAACAAATGATTATTTGGATAAATCAAAAAAATAAAATGTAGTTGTTCATAGAAATCATAGGATTATCATATCCACACAGCAAAAACGTTTTGCAACAAAATTAAAATTTTATCTCAGAATGAAAATAATATAGAGATGTATAAATCTTGGAATAAATTCTCTTTTATGTGACCCATAATTTACCATCTCGTAGCCACTATACAGAACGGCCCCTGGGAATGTGCATAACATAGTTTAGAGTGGTTTGGTCCACCTTGTACAGACTCTGGCATCTTGTGAAAAGCTATAACTTGCGAGCTTTACCGTGACGTCATTGCGACTTCGTTATCGATCAGTCGAACCGCGTGCTACAGCAGAAAGCTTCCGAAACTGCTGAAAAGTTCAAGAATTCATTCGCGAATTTCTGACGCATCGCAGGATTCGCGACCGGAGATGATTTGGTAAAAAATATCGAGATTTTTCTTAAAAAAATGATCGTTTTTCATTTAAAAAGTCGTGCATGTTTTTAGTTTGTTCCCAAAAAGGAGGATTTCTTTGCTGGAGGGCAGACCTCACTGTTTTGTTGGGGTAAATGACATTTATAATTAATTATTTTGATGAAATTAGGCTGTTGAGCAATTTGTGATGATCCGCTATGCGACTAAAGAGATTCAATTTAAGCGTAAATGTTTTGAATTATTACATTACGCAATTTTTTATGGAAATTAAAAAACATCTGCAGTGCGAAATCCTAATTGATCATCCTCCTAATTTATAGGGTATCTCAAAGAATATCAAATATTTTTTCGTTTTAAATAAATAGAAAAGAAAATACCTGTTTCTAATTTTTTATTTAACTATTTAATTCAAAATATTTTATTTAGATCAGTCAGTAAAATAAATAAATTTAGATTTTTAAGTTGATTTCATAATTATTATATTAAAATATGCATATTTAATTTCACATAAGGCCATAAGGTAATTTACCCATCACATTCGAAAAAAGAATTAATTTTCCTATACATTTGAGTACCTGAGAATAAATTTGGTGCCTCAGTGAACTATTTGTAGGTTTTTAGTCTTGAATCAGTACCTAGTAGACCTAAGGACGTAAAGGACGAAATTGCTCATAAACAATGACTAAGTTATTTAATTTTTTTTGATTAAGTCATCTTCATCAAACAGCGAAAACAATAGTGTTTCTATTTTTTGGTTTTGAATTTCATTTAAGATAGGTAGGTTTGATAAAAACGAAAAATTTTATAAAAAAAAACAAATTTTACTTTTACACTTTATTGACGGTTTTTTCTATTTTTATCTTTGTATCTTATTATGGAGAATGGTCATTTACTGAATCAGTTTTCACTTATTTTTTAGCTTTTATATAAATTTATTTTTGAATGTGATCAAAAAAATACTTAAAATTATTGTCTGTTAAAATTGATTTGAATTTAAAATACTTTGAAAATAATTTTTAATTAAATAATTAGGTAGGTATCAATATATACAGGGTGTTTCTAAATTCATGCGACAAAATTCAGGAGGTGACTGCTCGTATAAAATTAAGATGGGTCTTTCCTATAACAAAATTTCCTCAGCCCACCCCTTTCCGAGGGGTTTAGGACATTTGGACGTAGCCGTTTCGGCGTGGCCATTTCGGCGTGGCCATTTCGGCGTGGCCATTTGGACGTCAGGCCATTTCGCCGTTGGCCGTTTCGACGTCGGCCGTTTCGGCGTCGGGAATACTATTTTTTAGTATGTATGGTAAAACCGCTGTAAGTTTTATTATGAAATAAGTAAAGTATTGAAATAAGTAAGGTATTGATTGCATAGGAATGGGATAAATGTTTTAATCTGTTTTTCAAGTACCTATCAGAATTATAATAGTAGTGTAATTAATATTAGTGTAATTAATATTTTTTATGAACATTAGTATAATAATAGTGAGGTAAAGAAATTGTTCCAAATTTGCAACCCAGAGTAATATATTGCGATTTCGAACAGGCGTTACTATAAATGGTTGTTTTTTTCACTTGGCCCAAAATATGAGGACATACGAGAGAGTACAATGCTGATCTACAATTCTCTCTAAATGGCAGAACGGTGATATCTTTGGCATTTGTTCCTACGGTCATTTAGATTATGCCTTTGATGTTCTACCGGAAGACCTACCTGCCGAACAGCAATAGTATACATATAGACATTTTATTTTAGTCTTCCTTTCGACACGAAAACAGTTGTATTATTTAATTATAATAAACCTAATTATAATAAATATACCAATTATTTATAAAAATTATATTGTCGCCGAAATGGCCAACGTCGAAATGACCGGCGTCGAAATGGCCGACGTCCAAACGGCCACGCCAAAACGGTCACGCCGAAACGTCCCATTCCCCTTTCCGAGATATCACCCTTAAAAGGTAGTGACTAAAATTGAGTTATTTTTTTTCTAAAATTTCAGTAAAGCTAGAAACTTGAAATTCTGTAATTTTCGTGGACTCGCAAAGGACTAACCACGGGTATTTTTTCAATATTTCTGTTACATTATAGGGGCGTGAAATTAGTAACCCTTACTTTATTTCATATCGAAAAAAAAAGCTTTGGTCAGTCGTTCTAAAGCCGCATTGGTACTCTCCGATAATTTTTTCTCATTCTACTTCTGTTCTTCTTTTTATTAACGTGGCTAGTGCCTTATATGTAACGTCCAGCAAAGCTATACATCGATAGTTTCAACAGTCTGCTGGGTTCCCTTTCTTATATATTGGCAGTATTACTGCTTTCCTCCAATTTAGTGGCATTTCTTCCGCTTTTCATATTTCTTTGATTAGTTGTATTATTTCTGTTATTAGTTATTGTCCTCCATGTTTTGTAATAGCTTGGCGTTACTTTGCAATAAAATGTTAATTTCAAAACACTTATAAGAAATTTTAACTAGCTCATAGAAATTTAACACCAAACGTAACTTAACTTTAATCAAATTAAAAAGAAATTAGCACATTGACCATATTGTTTTCTCAGTCGTGAATTCGGCTTTTCTAATAGACACCTTTGGGATAATAGTTTTCTGGGAGAGAGGGGCGCCACAATTATCTTTTTTTATTTTTAGAAAGCTAGTGAGAATTATAAACTCTAGCTTTATCAAAAGGAAATTAATAAAAACTTATATAAAATTTAATTTAAGTAAAAGAGAATTGTTGTAAGCTTAAAAAAAATAAGATTTAACATATAAATGAATTTGTTTATTTAATTATACGAAATGAATTTTTTACAAATTTAAATAAAAAATACTGATATTTTCTAAATAATGATTTTTATCGTGTTGGTACCAACAACTTTAAATTTAAAACTCTTATCATACCATAATAAATAGTTTTTTAGCCTCGTGTATTAATTACCGCTAAGTTAGGAATGTCGCCATCATCAATAGCCTCGGTAGCCTCTCTAGCTCCAAAACACATCCAGTTGAACAATTCGAAAATAGTTTCTGTTAAAGTTGAGTATATAGCAGTATTAAGCAGTGAATTTTCGATAGGTAGGAGAAAATTTATAATGTGAGACTGCTTACATTCGCTTCCACTATCTTTTGCAGTCTGGGTACTGAACTGTTAATTTAAGTTATCAGATGAGAAATTAATTTTAATGAAAAGATTCGAATATGGAGAGCCAGCCAGATCCCCACCTAGAGACATTTCCCTCTCTAAGCATATTGCTAGCGCCAATAATTAAATGGTAAATCAATCTGATACTAATTTATACAGGATGTCACACAATTAAAATAAAATTTTTAAATAGTTATTTAAAATATTACAATTTTAGGTTCTCTGCGGTAATTTTGTTTGATCCGGGGCTTTTATTATTCTTCATATTTGAAATCATTTCTATTATCTCTTCTTCTGTGGGTTCCTCAGCGGTGTACATAGGGTTTTCATTTGCTTCTTTTTCCTCCTCTGCTGCTTCTTCTTCTACTTTCTGCCGTTCAGATTCATCGTTCAGTAATTTTTGGAAATATTGTTTCCATCTTTGCATTTGCTCGCTTCTTCCTCCTTCATGAAAAATATCGTAATTTGAAAAATTATTATTATAGTTATCTAATAATCTGTCGATAAATGAATACACCTGTGTAGAAAGAACAGTCCTGTCTTCTATAGTCCCCGTTCCAAATTTTGAACCCCACACAGTAATAGTCTTGTTTCGTAAGCAATTCCATGGGATGGAAAGCGGGATTAGAAGAGAAAATATTTTAAAAATGTGTTTTGTACATTTTTAAGTCTATTACTGTGTGTGGAATAAGATGGTGACCATATTAAGACGTTTTATTATTATTATTATTATTATTATATTATGCGCACCAAAATGTTAAACAGGCATAATATTGCTCGAGTATCATGAATGTTTGGGTGTTCCTCTTGATGACGCCTAGTAGCCTAAAAGCTTTAAGAACAACCAACAACCAAATGCAAATTGAAGAAAAATTCGACCCCAAGGTCGTTAATTGATGAATTCACTTCCAGAGAATCGTTATTTATATAATAAAGAATATAACTGCGGTTGGTACATCTGCATAGGAAAAAACAGTGCAAAATAAATTATTTACTTGAAAAATTACGATTGCCATAGTTATTTGTTTAACTATTTCAAAAATAAATCAATTACCATAAGTAAAAGTATGTTTCTAAACACTTATTTCTGTTACAAGTAAACAAGTTTCCTATAATGAGGGTTTTTTTAATAACCCCTAGTAAACAGTTAACTTAACCTATGAACCAGTTTGCCTACGATAAATGAATAATGTTTCTGAAACTACTTTAATAACCACAAACTCATATATATTTACTATAAGTTAACTTTTATTTCTGGTTAAAAAACATTTACATACAGGTAGCCACCGCTTCAATACAATAAGTCTCGATCACCACCGGAACATCAACGAACTAAGAGTCGATTAATCTGATTTCATTTTTGCATTGTCTTTCCTACCGGACGGTCACAGCTCACAGGGCAGTTTAGGTCAAGGTCATACATCTTTGCTATGATAGCTACGCCACTGTCTCTTTCTTTCTATTCACAAACGATCAGGTACCCTATTCTCGAACTCATAAGAGCGCTCCTACACTCTCCTACTCGACGGTGAGTCGACTGCTTCATCACCAGTGTTGCCAGACGACCAAAATCAAATTGTACGATGCTTTAGAAATTATCTTTCTTTTTTACTCATAATTTTATCGAAGACACTGACCTTACTAGTGTGACGTTATCGAAGGCTGGTTAATTTAAGAATTTGTGGGATTAGGGTTAGGGTAATTAGATAATAATTTTATTGAATGAACATATAAGAACATAAAAGAAAAAATAACAATCTATTCTTGTTGAGCTAAAGTTTAAAAAATAATTTCTTTTTCTTGTAATCATGTAATCCTTTCCGATTTTGATCTTTCAATTGTTTTTGTCTATACATTTTTAATTTCATATGTAGGTTTAAAACCTACACATCCATTATCCAAAGAATCCCGCACGTATTTACTTTTGTAAAGTGGTCAAATTTTCTAAAACTTTGGTATGTTACTGTACTCAACCTAGTAACCAAA